AATAGTGCCCCATCGTTGGTGTCAGTGGGGGGAGGAATAGTGCCTATCATTGGTGTCAGTGGGGGGAGGAATAGTGCCCCATCGTTGGTATTAGTGACACAAATGATGGGGCACTATTCCTCCCACTGACACCAATGATACTTACCTTGCTGACCCCTGCTCCAGCCTGGGCTCGCTCTCTCCCTCTCCCATCTACAGCCTGCAGAAGCAAAATTTGCACTTACCTGTCAGCTGTCTTCCTTCTCTGGCCTCTCTCCTCTTCACTCGGTCCTGCAGCTCCCTCGATCTTCTTCGATCTGCGCGCTCTGCCGCTCGGCTCCTCCTCTCCAAGCTCCACCTCCTCGCCGGTGATTGGCCGCCTGTGTGCCTCTCCTGAGCTACAGTTCCGGTGGCCAATCAGCGGCGAGGAGGCGGAGCTGTTGAGTGATCCCGGAGGTGTGGCCAGGTTACAGGGGCAGCATATCATCCCGCCCACAGATCGCGAGACAGAGCAGCAGTGTCTCGGTTCCTAAGACCATCGGAAATATGTTTTCCGATGGTCTTAGGCGACCCCTGGGAAATGGTCGTTCGACCCCCAAAGGGGTCGCGACCCCCAGGTTGAGAACCGCTGCTCTATATGATGCCAACGATGGGGCACAATTTCTCCCAATGACACCAACAATGGGGCCTACTGACACCAATGATGGGGCATAATTCCCCCCTACTGACACCAATGATGGGGTACTATTCCTGCATATGACACCAGTGACGGGATGCAATTCCTCCCAATGTTGCCAACAACGGGGCACAATTTCTCCTAATGATACCTACAATGGGGGCCAATGGCGGGGCACAATTCCTCCCACTGGCACCACTGATTGGGCACAATTACTCCCAGTGACACCAAAAAGTGGGGCATTGTTTTATTCCCACTGACACCGGGACCTTTTCTACTCCGGATGGTCACAGTCTGGCCCCCCTAAAGTATGAAGGACAGTCGAATGGCCCTTTGTCTAGAAAGTTTGGAGACCTCTGCTCTAAAGAGCAGGGCTTTCATAACCATTCCTTATTAGATTGTAAGCTTTAAATACTAGAGCCCTCAAACCCTTTCCCAATTAGATTGAAAGTACCAAGAATCAGGACTTTCATACCTTTTTTTCAAAATAGAATGTACAATCTAAGCAGCAGGACCTTCATACCTTCTATTTATTGGATTGTATGCTATACTGTAACAAGCAAGACCCTCATACCTTCTGTGTCCTGTTCAGGGCTTTTCTTAAGCAGGAACTAGGGGGAACGCACCGCCAGCACTGAATTAATGTATTGCCAATGGGTGCTGGGGGGTCCTGGAGGGTCTATTGATGCTGGCTCCTGGGAGATTTATTGTTGCTGATGGGGAATCTATTGTTGCTATGGGGGTCTTATGTTACTGGTTGGTCCATTGCTACTCTGAGGGATCTGCTATTGAGGAAGGAGTCTATAGTTGCTGGTTACTGGAGGGTCCATTGATACTGGCTTCTGGGAGATGTATTGTTTCTGGCAGGGGTCTAATGTTGCTAGGGTGGATCTATTGGTGCTGGAGGTATTCTGTTTGGGGGGCTATTATTGCTGGGGGGATCTATTATTGCTGTGTGATCTATTGTTACCGGGGGGAATATCTATTGTTGCCAGGGGATATATTGTTGCTGAGGAGGATCTATTGTTGCTGGGGGATCCATTGTTGCTGGCTGCAGGGGATCTATTTGACTGATTTGCCTGTTATCATTAACACATTACTAAGCACCACAAAATTATACTTGGTTCTGAATTCCCTAAAAGGGGAGGTACTGGGAGGTGGGCAGGGGTGGAACTAAGGAATGTTGCTCGGAGGTGGCTAGGGGGTTTAGACAAAGGATAACTGGGAAGGGGGAATACCTGTACCCTTTCTCTGGTCCTTTTACATTGAAATCTCCGAGGAGTAAAGCCCTTATACCTTTTTTCCTCTGTTGAAATGTTACATTCTGTGCTTTTTATATATGTGTTTGCTGTACGCCCAACTCTAATGATATGTATGAGCAAAATAGTATCAAGACTCGTAATTTAATGGGCATCTAAATCAACTGTTCTCAGGCAGGGTTCCTCCAGAGCTTGCTGTGGGTTTGTCAGGGTCCTGTCCACGGCAGAAGTTCTGGAAGATCTGGCATTTCTGCCAGTACCCTGCATGGCCGCAGAAGCACACATCAGCCTCAGTTTGGTGAAAGACGGCCTTTATAAGGAGGCTCATCACTTCCTCAAGTTGCTGGATGATCTCTAGCTCCCCGTGCCTTGTTCCTGTTTCCTGTGTTATTGTGACCTGATACTGACTAGGCTTGCTCTTGGACCTGTCTACTCTGCTTAACCCCTGATCTGACCTCGGCTTGGCTTATGGATACTCTCTCTCTATCGCTCCTCTGTGTATGACCTCGGCTATCCCATCTGACTACGACCGCTCTGATTCCCACCTGGTACCTGACCTTGGCTTGAACCGGCTATCCAGAAAATCTCTAAATCCCCGAAGGGCTTGCATACCTCACACAGGCGCCACCTGTCTGCAGACCTATCTCTGTACATCAGCTGTGCTTCTGGGTGGACCACCAACCAGCACTCCTACAGGCGACCTGTGCAACTTTGGGCCTGACTCCCGCCATCCCACTCTCAGGGGAGTCTTGAACTTAGCCACAAAGGAAGCCCTCTCTCCATTGGCCTCCATCACCAGGTACGTGATAGGGTTCCCTGAGCTGTGGCTAATTGATCTTCTATTTGATGATGCCTTCATAGTTCCAGGACCAACACCACTTGGCAAAGCCAGTGGCATGACTCCAGTGATCTGTAAAGGGGGAATTCTGACCAACACTGTATGAGGGACATTTTTTTCCACCGACTCCCAAAGAAATAATTCTAGCAGGTGTTCCCTAACATGTGAGTATTATTTTGAGGGCTCCTTTGGACAACAAAAGATTGAGCAAGGCAGGTCTAAATCCATGAAAAGCAAGGGAGAGGTTAAAACGAACTTCGGTTATTCTTGTCATGCTGGCCAATAAAAAGAAACAATTTTCTGTAAATTTTACTGACACTTGACAAGATATATGAAATTCAGCAAATTTTTTTTTTCCAATTCTTAGAGCAGAGGCATCTGTGAGGCTTCCCTTGGGTGCTTGGATCTAGTAGGACAAGAGAGTAGAAGACTTGGGCAAGAGCTAGGGATGGGGGGAGGGACATTGGGTAAATTTGCTCTCTGTGTGGATGCAATTGTCTCTCTGCAGAGCAATAAGTCCCAAGACCTAGGGGCGGACTGACAACTCATGGGGCCCCTGGGCAAAAGGGGATCATGGGGCCCCTGTGTCCTTGCCCACATTAAAAAAAAAAAAGCCTATAAAAGGTACCAGGGGCATTTCATGGGGCCCCCTACTGACCCCGGACCCTCTGGCAGTGCCCGAGTGCTCGAATGGTCAGTCCGCCCCTGCTAAGACCTAATTCCCTTCAATTAGCAAAGCTCATGCTTCATTCTGATTTGAAAGCTCTAGCCCTGACTCAGCATGGGGTGTGTTGGACCTCTGCAGAGAGGCCACCACTTCCAAACAAAGAGCAAGGGTCGCTTTCTGCAGCATGCTGGCTGAGGACAGACTTTTCATTTCTGGCTGTGGCTGCTTTTATAGAAAACAAACTGTGTCACTTTGTACACCTTCTGTTTCAATGCACCTGGAATGTTTTCAGCCAAGAAAAGCTGAAAATTCAGAGCTGTAAAGCAAGCCCATGTTTTGTCAGGTTGATTTTAATACCCCCTTCCCAGCAGAACATTCTTTCTTTCCCACTGGTCTCCTGCTGCTCTGTTCAGTTCCTGGTACTGAAGAAAAGTTGCCAGCGCTCACAAGGGACTGAGGACTCTATTCGCACCATCATGTAACAGTGCTGGGCCAATCACTATGCACCCGTGTGTCCACATTAGTTACATGCACCTGCATACCTGGAAGTATGGGTTCTTTTCTTGCTCTGAACCACGAAAGCAGTTATAGGGACTGAAGAAAGGTTGCTAGCGCTCACAAGGGACTGAGGACTCTATTCGCACCCTCATGTGACAGTGTTGGGCCAATCACGAAGCACCTGTGCGTCCACATTATTTACATGCACCTGCATACCTGGAAGTACTGGTTATTTTCTTGCTTTAAACCATGAAAGCAGGAGCAGAGGTAATAAAAGGTAAGTATTTGCTCCTGGATGGGAAAGGCCTGTGTGTATTATAAAGAACCTGCTACTTTTCCCTGCTTTGCAAATGTATAATTTGCTTAGAAGTTATTCAACTATTAAAAAAAAAACAGATTTAAAGCAAATGACTATATATGTGAGGACACATTTCAGAGATTCAAATGTTCAAAGGACTTCTAGATTGAGGAGAGCATACTCAGTATAGAATATTATAAAGAACAGATGGCAGAACACTTCCCTGGGATCTTCATCATGTTTAACATGTAGACATAATCAAAATGGGATAACTAAGTTCTCTCAATGGTTGGCCAACCATGTGGTCAGCTTTCGTCTGTTTCATAGTTCTTCTCGAAAGGTCAGTCCACTCCCGTTCATCTTCTTCTTGTATTCTTCATCAAACAAGATGTTCTGAGACACCAGAAAGTGATTCTTCCAATCCCCGACTTTGCCTAAAACAAGAAATCCTTTTTACAACAAAGAACATTATCTAGATATCTTTGGCCGTTGTAACTCTTCTTTCTGATCAAACATAGCATCATACCTTTCCTCATGAATTTGGAGACAGACTGATCCATTGCTTCTGGAGGTAGGACACTATAGTTGGCCATTGGATTGTCCTTCATGACCTCAAATGACGTGTGATGAAGGATCTTCTGGAGGACCTCCTCGGACACATCTTTCTCCAAGAACTTGATGATCTTATTTATCTCTCGTTTTGGGTCCTAGAAACATAAAAAGTTTAAAAAAAAAAAAAATCACAAGAATTTCCCATGTAAGCCGATTAAATGGGTGCACCTCACCTCAACCATGTCTTCATAGAAGATGTAGAGTATTCGATGTTTGTCTTTTGCTTTCCACCAGCCGATGACGTGGTCAAACCAGTTTCCCCAAGCCACTGAAAGGACAGGCATTTATATTTTCTGGACCCTCTTTCCCCTGTACTTTTGACCTCTACACATGTATAGTCATGTGTGATGAGAACCATTTTTTGAAGGCTGTATGCCCCTCCCATGTTGTATTACTTACTGCAACACTGGTATTTGCATGAACGTGTATTATTGTGCACATTTACTGAATTTTGATGAAAATAGCATATGGAATAATTATATATAAAATATACACACACACACACACACACACACACACACACACACACACACACACACACATATACATATACATACATATACATATATATATATATATAATATATATACATACACATATATATACACACATACACATATATATACATATACACACATATATATACATATACACACATACACATATATATTATATTTTTTTTTTTTATAGTATTAATAGTACAATGAGCAAATTATATAATATAATATATATATATATCTATTTAATTTTTTATATATATATATATATATATATAAAATTAAATAAATATATATATATTTATCTAATTTGCTCATTGTACTATTAATACTATAAAAAAAATATATATATATATATATATATATATATTATATTATATTATTTGCTCACTATTAATATTGATTGATTTAAGGTTTTACCGAAAGGCATTCAAGTCAATATTTTGATATATTAGAAAGCCTCATTCCTCACTTACCGTCTCCAGCCAGAAAAGTTGAGAAGTACTCATTCCAGGTGCCGGGGTCTGGTAGACCTTTGTTCATTTGCTGGAAGTAGTAGTATGACACCATGCAGTCCTTGGCATTCCTGGCCACATAAATGACCTGCATGAAGGGGGTGAGTGGCACTTAGAAGAAGCCCGTACACATTTTGTAAAGCTACAGACATAGACAATACACATCTTAGTGGTTAGTACTGCTGCCTTGCAGCACTACTGCTCTGTGCTCAGTTTCCACCTAGACGCTCTCTGCTATATAAATGTATAATAATAGTGTGTGACTGTGGGGAGACATTAGAGTGTAAGCTCCTTTGGTGCAGAAACTGATGTGACTAGTTAAGTACAAAACTGTGGAATATGTCAGAGCTATATAAACGTACAATAATAGTGTGTGACTGTGGGGAGACATTAGAGTGTAAGCTCCTTTGGTGCAGAAACTGATGTGACTAGTTAAGTACAAAACTGTGGAATATGTCAGAGCTATATAAACGTACAATAATAGTGTGTGGCTGTGGGGGGGACATTAGAATGTAAGCTCCTCTGGTGCAGAGACTGATGAAACTGGCTCACTGTTCTTTATACAGCACTGTGGAATATGTCAGAGCGATATAAACTTATTATAATAATAATACCCACATGGAAGAAAAATATATTTGAAATGTATTTTAAAAATATTCTTCCCAAATATATTGACATATATTTGAAATGCTACAATTTTGGCCGTATTCAATATATTTCAAAATACATTTCAATAAATATATGTAAATACACTGCATGTTGAAATGTGTTTTTTATATATATTACAATATATATAAAAAATATTTTTAAAAATATATTTTTTATTTAAATATATTCTTCAGAATTTTTTAACATATAAAAAAAGTAATTTTAACATATATTTTTACATATATTTGTAAATGCATTCCAAAAATGTAGATTTGTATTTTTAAAGACTTACAGTATATTTGAAATGTATTTTTAAAATATTCTTCCCAAATATATTGACATATATTTGAAATACTACAATTTTGGCCGTATTCAATATATTTTTTAAAATATATTTTAATAAATATTTGTATATGTACACTGCATGTTGAAATGTGATTTTTTTATATATTACAAAATATATGAAAAATATTTTTCAAAATATATATTTTTTTAAATATGTTCTTCAGTTTTTTTTAACATATAAAAAAGTAATTTTAACATATATTTTTACATATATTTGAAAATGCATTCCAAAAAAAATGTAGATTTGTATTTTTAAAGACACACAGTATATTTGAAATGTATTTTTAAAATATTCTTCCCAAATATATTGACATATATTTGAAATCAGAGGCGGACTGACCATTTGAAAATTCGGGCACTGCCTGAGGGTCCGGGTCAGTAGGGGGCCCCATGAGAGGCCTCTGGTACCTTTTTCATAGGCTTTTTTGAGTTTGGGCAAGGACACAGGGGCCCCATGATCCTCTATTGCCCGGGGGCCCCATGAGTTGTCAGTTCGCCCCTGTTTGAAATGCTACAATTTTTGGCCGTATTCAATATATTTCAAAATATATTTCAATAAATATATATATATATATATATATATATATATATACACTGCAAGTTGAAATGTTTTTTTTATATTACATATATATTATATATTACAGAATATATGAAAAATATTTTTTAAAAATATATAACATATAAAAAGTAATTTTAACATGTATTTTTTTGCATATATTTGTAAATGCATTCCAAAAATGTAGAATTGTATTTTTAAAGACACACAGTATATTTGAAATGTATTTTTAAAAATATTTTTCATACATTTTCTAATAAAGACGCATTTCCACATGCAGTATATATATATTGAAATATATTGAATATGGCCAAAATTGTAATAATATTGTGTGACTGCGATGGGACATTAGAGTGTAAGCTCCTCTGATGCGGAGATTGATGTGACTGGCTCAGTGTTTTCTGTACAACACTATGGAATATGTCAGAGCTATACAGTATAAAAGTTTGCATGTTCTCCCTGTGCCTGCGTGGGTTTCCTCCGGGTACTCTGGTTTCCTCCCACACTCCAAAGACATGCTGGTAGGTTAACTAACTCCTGTCTAAATTGTCCCTAGTATGTGTATGTATGAATGTGAGTTAGGGACCTTAGATTGTACACCCCTTGAGGGTTAGGGACTGATGTGAATGTACAATATATACATTTGGAGGAGAAGAACTGTAATCTCCAAATTCTTTCTTGGATACACAGAACATAACTGGATATAACATTTATAGGTAAAGATGATCCAGGGAATATCCGATTGCCTCTCGGGGGATCAGGAAGGAATTTTTTTCCTCTGCAGGAGCAAATTGGATTGTGCTTTGCTGGGTTTTTTTTGCCTTTCTCTGGATTAATTGTGGGTGTAGGATTATAACTTTTTTTTTAATGGTTGAACTGGATGGACTTTTGTCTTTTTTCAGCCAGACTTAGGCTACGTTCACACTAGCGTTGTGTGCAGGTGGCAGAAAGGCGTTTGGGAAGCATTTTTACAGCTTCCCAAACACCTCAGACAATTCTGAACATTGCAGCACATGGTGCTGTTTCTAACGGGAGCGTTAGCGTCGCGGCGCGGCAAAACGGACGCCTCTGCTCGAGTCAGGAGGAGTTGAAACCTTCTATTCTAGTCTATGGTGCCGCTCCGCAAACGCCCGGCCCGGCGTTTGCATTGCGGTTGCGGGGCGTTTGCGGAGCGGTAACACCATTCAAACTTCATTATAGGCGTTTGTGGGGCGTTTTTAACGCTCGGCAAACGCCTAGCAACTGCCGCTGAAGCATTTGCGGAGCGTTTGTGTTTGCCGAGCGTTTGCCGAGCGTTAAAAAAACGTTCCGCAAACACCAGACCAACGCTTGCCAAACACTATAGGGGCGTTTGGCAAGAGTTGGTAAAACAGTCAAGTGTGAACGAGCCCTAACTTTGTAAAGTTCTCCGCTGATCATCTCTGTTTCCTAAACCACAAATGATCGGAGATCAGCAACGATCCTCAGGATCACCGCTGATCTCTGTTTCATAAAAGGGCACCTTTGTAAATAAATAATTATTATTATTATACAGTATTTATAAAGCGCCAATAGTTCGCTCAGCGCTGTACATTACAAAGGGGGACAGAACATGTGACAGAACAATACCAATACAATGCAGAACATGAGGGGATCGAGGGCCCTGCTCCTTGGAGCTTGCACTTTGCTTCTTTGAGCATTGTGTCTATTATTATCGCTAATATTGCATTGTATTACCTCCTTCAATATAGTCAAAGATTATATAGTTACTAATTAATTATAGGAACAGACAGACAGTACATAATTATATAATAAATAGGGGAATCTAAAAACAAACCCCCTATTATTTATTTCACCCGGCTTTATTCCATTCGGTGTATTTCCCAGACTCACCTTGGCATTCTTCTCCCCAAAAAGATGGCGGCAGCAACTTTATTGGCATATGCGTCTTTAGAATACGAGGTGACGGCATGACATCAGCGGCTTCCACCCCTGAAATATACAGCACATCGTCACCTTGATAACTGGGCTGATTAGAGTCTTTTGGCCTGCAAATAAAAAAGCCTACCACAGATAAAAGCATATCTAATAGACACGTGCAGCTTGTTTCATTCCGAATCGGAATTTAGATGAATGTTTCATTACTCAGCAATTCGGATGTATCCGACTTTCCGAGTGACAATAGCAAAGAATTTAAATGAATCTGAAATAAGGAAACTAAATGATGTCCAAAACATGAATCGAATTCAAATTGGAAAACAAAATCGAATTTGAAAACGGGAATGTGTACAAAGTTATCGAATAGAAAAGAATAAAATAGAAAGGAAAATAATAGATTGGAAAATGAAAGAATAGAAATGATGAACATATTAAAAAAAAAGCTTTAAATATTGTATGTGAAAAGTATAGTGTAGGCCAGTGTTTCTCAAACTTTTTCAGTCAAGGCACTCTTTAAAAATTATGGACAGTCTTGAGGCACTCTTTAAAATTATGGACAGTCTTGAGGCACTCTTTAAAATTATGGACAGTCCTGAGGCACCCCATTCTAAAATTTTCAAATTTGAATATAATAAATAGATTAGAATAGAATAGAAAAGAGCGGCATAGAAAATAAAAGAATAGAATAGAAAAGAAAAAGAAAGAATATAACTGACTTCTGAAATCGAATTTCAAATAGAATAAATTCGAATGCCGATTTGAATTTTCCGAATTCGGTGGAATTGTATTCAATTTGACCGAATTAGGAAAATTTTAATAAATTAAACATATTCCGAAAATAAAGGAATTAAACAAATTTAACTAAACAAAATTATTTAAATGATATATTGAAACAAAACAAATGTTTTCGTTCTGTACATGTCTAGTATTTAAACTCATTAGACTGTGGACACAAAACCCAACATGGGATTCCAAGATTTCCAGTTGCGTTGTACATCACATGCATCACCTGATGGTAATGGTTTGGCGTTCAGGTCTAGGAAGGGCACTTTAATAAAGCAGGGGGGCCCGCATGCTCTGCTCCACATTGCCCTGTAGCTGGATCAGGTCCACAATCTCCTGCATCCATGTGGTACCTTGGAAAAAAAAAAACATATTAACCATTATATAATAATTAATAAGTTGAACTTGCCATTAATTGTACAACTATGAGTCAAAAAACTGATAACTGGTGCACACACAAAGCATGTCCCACCCCACTGAATGCCCTTCAGACCTCAGATCAGCCCCCAAAAATGCCTTTCAGATCACAGATCATCATCATCATCATCAATGCAAACCCTTCAGACTTTTGATCATCAGCCTCAATGCATGCCTTTTAAACCTCAGATCAACTTCAATGGATGCCCTTCAGGCCTCAGATCATCAGCGCCAATGCAAGTCCTTTAAATTTTAGATCATCAGATTACCAGTGCATGGCCTTTAAACCTTGGATCAGCCCCCATGGATGCCCTTCAGATCTCAGATATCAGACCCGATGAAGGCACTTCGGAACCTAGATCAGCCCCACTGAATGCACTTCAGACCTTAGATCAGTACCAATGCATGTCCTTCAGACCTTAGATCAGTCCCAATGGATGTCCTTCAGACATCAGATCATCAGCACCTATGCAAGTCCTTCAAATTTTAGATCATCATCACCAGTGCATGGCCTTTAAACCTCGGATCATCCCCAATGGATGTCCTTCAGACTTCGGCTCATCAGCACCAATGCAAGCCCTTCAGATCTCAGATTATCAGACACATTGAAGGCACTTCAGAACTTAGATCACCCCCACTGAATGCACTTCAGACCTTAGATCAGCACCAATGCATGCCCTTGAAACCTTGAATCAGCACCAATGGATGCCCTTCAGACTTTGGATCTGCCCCAATGGATGTCCTTCAGACATCAGATCATCAGCACCAATGCATTCCCTTCAAACCTCAGATCATCCCCAACGGATGCCCTTCAGACTTCAGATCAGCCCCAATGGATGTCCTTCAGACACCAGATCATCAGCACCAATGCAAGCCCTTCAAACTTTAGATGATCAGCCCCATTGCATTCCCTTCAAACCTCAGATCATCCCCAATGGATGCCCTTTAGACCTCAGATCAACCCCAAATTCACACATTTCAGACTTTAGGTCAGCCCCAAACCACATACCTTCAGGAAAGCGGAAAACCTCTGTAGGTATGTGGGCCAGCTTCTTCCACACAGCACATAGACGTACTCAGCCACCAGTGGGCTTTCAGTGATGTCAGAGAAGTGGGTGGGCCAAGCTTTGTAATTGACAGCCTAGCAAGCTGTCAATTACATCCAAAACAGATGACAGCACAAATGGCATTGGTCATGCACGCTGGGGGCCAAGGCCTGGATAGAACTTTTTTATCAGGTTTTGTCTGCAATTGGGACACACACTTGAGCAAAACAATTTTCTCAGTAGAATGGATAAGTGTTAGAACATCTATCAATGTACTATGTGTCAAAGGGCTTTGGGCTTGTGTTGAAGGCATCAGCTTAGTATCAGTTTGAGATGCTTCTGAGAACATCCAAAACTGATGGACAGGTTCGTTTGACCTGCAGTTGACCTTCTTCTGACCTGCCGCTGACCTGTTTTCAAGAGAATTTTGCATTCCTATAGGCTTGCATGGAAAAATGGAAAACCCACTTGAAGTGAACAAAAGCCTGTTGACAATATGGCGCATGTGGACAGATGTTGTTTTCCATGCAATGGCGACCTGTGGGTGCTACAATGCAGCCTGCCTAGGAACATCCACTGCACTAGACCGTCATCCACCCATCAAGGTATTTTCATATTTGTATAACTCCTCCCAAGAGCCAGCCCACTGCTTGCATCAGGGTTCAGGGCTCTTGAGAGCAGCGCTAAGGCTGGGTGCTGTGATGCTGTCGCGAAGCAATGGCTCCTCCCAACAGCCATGCTCTGAATTGCACAGAGAAGCACGGAGACTCAATGGTGATATCAGTGGGTCCAATATACGAGGTGGTATCAAAAAAGTTTAGACTAGTTATTTAACACGCCAACAGATGACAGCTCAAGGCTGCACGCACAGTCACAGGGAGCACCAACCTTCATAAGTCATCGACCTGTGTACATCGGGAGCTGTGCACTTGGTGCTACTCTGACCACTTACGTTACCATGTCTGCTATTTCATCGTGAACAGCAAAGTTAGAACAAAGGGAAAGCGTCAAATTGTGTGAATGTGATGTCAGATGCCATGGCCATTTTTGAGAAGTTCTAGTAAAGTGCGGAAAACTTGTTTCATTGTGGACTTTCCTTTATTCTTGTATATGAAGGCCTACAGCTAGGGATGCCATGAGCTGGCCTAAGGCCAAGAGTTTGACACAAATATGGTGAAGGGCTACAACTTGCAGCAGCTGGGGAGCTGTCCAAGAAGATGCGGGGCGGGAACTTGCAGGATTTGGTGCCAACACACAAAGCCAATCTTGGGCCCCTTTACAAACAGGTGAGAAGGGAATGGAGTGACTTCTAGTGTGTTCTACGTAGGGCAGGGGTGTCAAACTGGCGTCCCTCCAGCTGTTGTGAAACTACAAGTCCCATCATGCCTTTGCCTTTGGGAGTCATACTTGTAACTGTCAATCTTCCAATGCCTCATGGGACTTGTAGTTTGGGAACAGCTGGAGGGGCCACCAGTTTGACACCCGTGACGTAGGGGAACAATGTTTTCTCTATCTGTCTTTTTGCACGTGTCTTCTACTCCTACATTTCCTCCTGAGGGACCTCATCCCACCTAGAGTTTGATGTGTTAATTCACTCTTAGTTCATTTCTGATGGCCATCTAATGGCCATAAATGCAGAACTTTCCTAAGTCATGCTATTCTTATGAATAAATAACATTCCTCCCAGTGAGAAAATAGCCTCATAACATTCGATTTTGCCTCGCAAGAGTACAAAATTCAATGGCGAAAAAGGGTAGTTAAGAAAAAGGTTTTTTTTCAGGAAAATAAAGAGTTCTTTATCGTGGCTAAACCTCTAGTGAACAATTCCATCTTACATATTTGTGCCTAAAGTGCCACTTTCATTTCAATATTTTTTTTTTTTTCTGTTTCATCCTTTTTCTAATCGCACGGCAACTCACAATGGAAAGTTCCTCGCTGAGTCACGGTTGTGGTAAGGCTTGATCTCTGGCAGCTGTGCAGCGATTTCACAATGCGGGCTGTTAGGATTCCGTGAGATCACGTTGCATCTCTTCCTAAACGCAATCCTGTTATTACATCATAACCCCGGAACTCAGCCGTATCGGCATTGTGAATGGAGATATCAGTGGTCACCGAATCCCAGCTGATCGAATGTCAGGAACAGGTTCATGGACTTCTAATCTGCTTTTGTTTAATGGATTACGAAAGAAGCGAAGTGTCTAATTAATGGAGTTTACACTCTAATGTGCCCCTCCCCCACAGTCACATCATTCTCTGTACCAGAGGAGCTTACACTCTAATGTCCCCTCTTCCACAGTCACATCATTCTCTGTACCAGAGGAGCTTACACTCTAATGTCCCCTCCCCCCACAGTCACACGCTATTATTATTATACATTTATATACAGTTGCAAGAAAAAGTATGTGAACCCCTTGGGATTACGTGGAGTTTTGCATGAATTGGCATAAAATGTGCTCTGAACGTCATCTAAGTCACAACAATAGAAGAACACAGTCTGCTGAACATAATACTACACAAACATTAGATGTTGCCATGGTTTAATTGCACATAACATGTAAACATTCACAGTGCAGGGAGGAAAAAGTATGTGAAACCTTTGATTTAATAACTGATTGACCCTCCTTTGGCAGGAATAACCTTAACCAAACGTTTCCTGTAGTTGCAGATCAGACCTGCACAACGATCTGGAGTAATTTTGGACCACTCCTCTTCACAAAATTGTTTCAGTGTAGAAATATTCTTGGGATGTCTGGTGTGAATCGCTCTCTTAAGGTCATGCCACAG